TTCGTGGGGAAGAGAAGTCTCGGAGGTCATCACAGGCCAACTGGCCAAAGGTGTTCCTCCCTGTACCAAAGACAAGACCAGTTACACCTAGGAATAACGTGTGTCGATCTCCGCATGCTACTGCCACAAGTCTAATACGACTTAGACTGCTCACCAATAAGGGTTGAGGCTCATCACGGAGAACACCGTGACCAAGCTGGCCCGAAGTGCCGCTACCAAATGTGTAGACTCTGCCGTCGAGCATGTATGCACTGTGTATGCTGCCGGCTGCTACTGATGATCGATTTTGGAGCCGCTCTAGCATGAGTCGTAGTCGTAGTATAGCATTAGCATCATGATCACTTCGATGTAGCTCTGCCCGAGCGATGTTGATAATGTCTAGTCGGCTGAAGGCAGGCTCGACCAGCATGTTGAAGAGCTCTATGGGTATAGATCGTGTGGCGAAGGAGCTCAACCTGCGATCGCTGCTTGTAATAGCAATAATGCTTATCGTGTCGAGGAAGGCCATGATGTGCCATAGTGTATCGACAGAGAGTATGGACAATGACGATGATGATGGCAGCACTGTGGCAGTCATGTTGGACCGCGACAGCTTTGTCAACGAACAGGCCCAAGCAGGTCAAAGAACTGAGACACTTTTTGTTACCCACGAGTAACGACAGCAAGCCCGAGACCTATCTTAGCATCCCAGCAAGCTGACTTAACGAACGCATTGTCCCAAGTCAGTGGTTACATCATAAACACGAAATCATTGCAGAGTGATATGTATTTATGTTGCACCCACAGCCGTTTCTCCATGGACACTTCAATATCAAGGGTTTGACGCAAGGCTATACACGTCGCTGAGTGCAAGTGCTAATAACTGCAGGTAATCAGGCCAATCACGGATGGCTTTAAAGAGAGAACTCCCAGCACGTACGAGTTCCCACAGTGGGGCCTGGTGCCAACAAGTCCACGAGTCTCAGGACCAGTAAAGCACTCAACCAGGGACATATCTGACATCGTACCATACACGCAATACATCGACTTGGCTTTGCTGATCAATAGCCTTTTCTTGTTCCCACCACTGATGAAGGGACCACTCCACGGTATCCAAAGCCGACATTCATATACCAACTCCAACTCTGAACTATCAACGCGACCCATACACTTAGTCAGAGAGGAAAGCATCACACGAGAATCGAATAGCGACAACGTACACGACTTACAACAGTAACAATGACTTCGTTTACGATGATAACGCTCAGGGCAATTTCGGGTGGAGGACCCTGTAGACTATGTGAAGATGATTAGTACCATAGTAATCAGAGAACAGATAACTGCTACTGCTAACATGAGGTACATCTAGAGACACAATTATTCACAGCGACCATTTGGCAGTCAACAGAGTATACTCTCAAGCCATGGAGCCAGGCGACGAGAAGCTTTAGCGCGGTATGCTCGACTACCTGGAAT